AAATTCCAGTTTGCGAGCGCAAATTACTGCACGCAAAATTGGATCTTGATAAATCCGGCCCTAAGACGTCATGGTTTGAATTCATACATGGCACAGAAGGTTCTCCTACTTAAACTAGCACATGTAAAAGCCGGTCTTAAGTTTGCCAATGACCATTTGGATGATCCGGAGGAGTCATGGTAGAAAGTTATTTGGTCAGGTGAGACCAAAATAGAACTTTCTGGTCATAATTCCACTATGATGAGTTACATCCCAGGAACATCATCCCTGCTGTGAAGCATGGGGCTGGTAGTATAATGCTTAGGGGGTGTTTTTCTGCACATGGATAGGGTGACTGCACTGTATTAAGAAGAGGATAACGGGGGTCATGTAATGTGAGATTTTGGGGGACAACCTTCTTCCCTCAGTTAGAGCATTGAAGATGGGTCTTCCAACATGACAATGACCCGAAGCACAGAGCCAGCATAACCAGGAGTGGCTCTGTAAGAAGCATAACAAGGTTCTGGCATTGCCTAGCCAGTCTCCAGACCTAAACCCGATAGAGAATCTCTGAAAGAAGCTCAAACTCTGTGTTTCTCAGTGACAGCCCAGAAATCTCACTGATTTAGAGAAGACCTGTGTGGATTGGGCCAAAATTCCTCCTGCAGTGTGTGCAAACCTGCTGAAAAACTACTGGAAACGTTTGACCTCTGCATACAAAGGCTACTGTACCAAATATTAACATTGATTTTCTCAGGTGTTCAAATACTTATTTTCCTCACTGTACATTTGTATAGGGCTGAATTCTTCATAATTTCTCTTCTGTGGCCAAGCTTCTGGTACTTCCTGTCTGAATGGTTGCTCTGTTTCTTGCTAGAATCATTGAGAGTTTATTCAGACTGAGTGACTTTTGCCGAGGGAATTTATAAATATAGACCATAAAAATGCAAAAGATCTAATTTCTTGCTTTATCCATGTTCAAAATGAGCTATGATGTCTGTCTATGGTTATCATCAATGCTGCTGAACATCTGTTTGTATCCAAGTTTCAACCATCTGGAAAGAAAATGAAAACTGGTTAAATGATAGAAAGCGATCCTGGAATCACCGAAGTTCAAGCCTGCCATAATCTGGAAGAAAAATCTAAAATATAAATAATATTACTGATTAAGGTCAACATATCTAACCTATAATCTGTTCCATGGTTCTGTTCACCACACAGAGGCAGATAGCACAAGGTATAAAGTTTGGCCAGAGGCCTCTGTCTCTTCGTAAAAGTGAGGAAGGTGAGGGAAGTTCCGATGAGGAGGAGGTTCCCCGAAGCCCTCTGAAGGTTTTGGTCCAGGTAGAAACTGAGCCACCAAAAATGGAACCAAAGGTAAATAATAAGCTTTTTCTATTGATTTTCAGTGTTAAAAGAGTACAGCAGGCTGTGTTTTTAAACTTCATTTTAAATAGTAGACCACGCCTTCTTAAAATAATTAATATTGTAAAACTTTTCCAAGTGTGTCATCTGACTGCCACAAACTTCAATATTTGTCAGCAGGGTTTTATTTCGTTTTAGTAAAAACAGTCGTTTGTAATTGTTAATCTGAACTGATGTATAATTTTCAAAGATAAAAGAAACACATAAAACCCTGAAAAGTCTGACATGCAAACCACCTTCTAGCTGAGCTGTGAGAGTTACAACTCTCTGATCAGTGATAATAGGTTTTTGCCTATATCTATAGCTTATATTTAAACACAAAGATTTGCTTTACTGATTAGTTTATTTTTACCAGACTTTTAGAGGTATCAGAGTAAAGGGGAGTGCATGACACTACTTCCGTGGATCACTCTCCTTCCACTTCACATTTACACACTACTGTGTGTTGGTCTGTCACATGAAATCTCAATGAAATATATTGAAATTTGTGGTTATAAAACGATAAGATCATGAAAATTCAGGGATGGAAAAAATACTATAGAAAGCTACTGTGAATTATTTCTCTTTTGTGGTCCAAGGTCCAAGGAGCTCAATCATTTGGGCAGCACAGCCCGCCGGTGAAGTCTCCAAGGTCCAAACGGGTTCTCCCGCCAATGGGAACCATTGAGTCTATCAATCTTGATGCTGTCCCCCAGTCTGTTCCTCGCCTGGACAACACTGCTGCCAAGCATAAACTCTCGATCAAACCGAAAAACCAGAGGATTTCCCGCAAACACAGACGGTTCACCCTGGTAAGGGAGACACAAGGTTTAATCTGCGATTCTGTCTCACATTTTCCATCATCTTCTGTGATTTTAAAATTCAAACAATACTGTCACTTTATTCCCAGGACCTCCAGGAGGTGTCTGTTCCTGGGGACATACAGGAGGACCTGGAGGCAGGCGGCGTGTTCTTAGACGACCAGCGCAGAGCATCTCTGGAGTCATCCAAAGAAAGCTTGAAGAAACAGAGACTTTATGAAGAAGACATACTGGAGGCCAGAAGGAGAAGGGAGATGGAGGAACAAAGGCTCAGAGAAGAAGCTGAGCAGAGGAAGATGAGGGCAGAGGAGCTGAGGCTGCGAGAACTGGAGGAAGAGAGGAGACAGCAAGAACAAGAGAGGAGGATGAGAGAGGAGACAGAGAGGAGAGAGAAAGAGGAGGAGGAGCTGAGGAGAGTCAGAGAAGAGGATGAAAAACTGAGGCGAGAAGAGGCTGAGA